GTTTTGTTTTGTTTTGTTTTGTTTATTGCAGTGCTCAAGATTTTGCATTAAGGCAGATGTTGCCATTTGAATAAGAKCAAGAGCAGGTGTTGAGCAGTTTTTGGAGCTGGGGGTATTATAAGAGAACATTCCTCAGATTGGTTTTATKAAAGTCCAATATTAGTTGCTTTACGGTGTGTTTTGTGTCTGCTGAAGCAAACAGCAGTAAAAAATAATCTCTGTAGGAATAAATGACTCCAAAAATAGGGGAAGCCTCATTTGGATCTACACATACTGTAATGCTAACACTGAGTGATGAGTCCATTGATTTATATTACTGGATTGGGCATGGCGTGTTGCTGGCTACATTGACGTACACAGCTTTTTAATGTTTGCATACAGATTTTGCAATTAACATAATTAACTTTGGTTAAATATGCATAATATTTACCTGTGAAACGTAACCCTTTTAGCTCTTGTAAACATGTTGTAACAATCTGTGTAGTTAATAGCAAAGTATTTGTGCCATTCAGGGCTGGACTGGTCATCTGGCGTAGCGGTGGGCCGACGCTCATTTATGGGCCGGTCCGGGTCTACCATGAACCAAAAAAAATATTATAAACAATTTTTGTCGATCGTGACAGCCTATTGGTTGATTTTCATGATCGACACTGAGCTACGCCAATGAAATCTTTCAGCAGTCCTCGGCCGGCCCAGCAAGACCCTCCCCTTTTTAACCAAAGTCATAAATCCTGCCAGAAGCTGCAGCCGGTCCAATGTTGGAAAGTAGGATGCTCTGGACAAAGCTTGTTGAGAAACTGGGGGGAAAATTGCAGAAGAATCCCCAAGGGGATGCAGCAAAATGTGCAAAAATAAGCAACATATTTCCCTCAACAAGCCACAAAAATATCTGACCAACCGACTGTATATATGTTAAATGAAACGGGGAGGGGAAAAAACACGGCTTGGAGCTGCTCCTCACGGAGCAGAACCTGTCAGCCGGTGTGTGATCCGGCTGGGTTTTCCTGATGATAAAAACCCATAGAGATTGTGTTTAAACTCCTCCCACTTGGCCCACCGCTTCTGCCAGAGTTACCCCTAATTTGCATTACTTGTGTTCCGTCTCCGCTCCGCTGCGGTCAGACTTCCGCAGCAAATACACACCCATTGTAATCAATGAGAGTGTTAACACTGGCTGCGCACGGCTGCACAGGGCGGCTGTGAGCGGAAGGCGATCCGTCAAAATTAGAACAGATCCTATTTTTGCCAGATGACGGAGTTGCGCCGGAGTCAATTTTTAAAGATTAAGTCGCACCAACAGGAAAGATACGAGCACAACATCCGTATTTTCAAAAAAATACACTATTCGGTGGAATAATTTGTCGGAATAATGCCAAAATTGCAAATATATTAATTATTATACAGATATATTTCTACACAAATACTGTCAGAATGTATCGTTCTGTTTGGGAAGCAGATGGAAACATGCAGCATGAAGCTATGTGTACACACACGATACACGTGGATTTTATTTTGAAATCAGAAGTTTCAGAAAATCTGACAGCGAGACAGTTTCAACATAGATACCAAAAGCCTTTATTTCAATGTTTTCAGCTGTGTTTGGAGTTTGTCTTTCACAGAATTAATTATTTTTTTGCTGTGACTTCCACATTTATCACTGAATTTATCGCGTGATCCGCTTCCTGCACGTCTGTTGGACCGGAGCGGAGTGGAGGTAGTGTAAACTGTACTTGAAATGGTGCAGCTGCGACCCGCGCAGTGGAGCAGAGCAGAGACGGAATGCAAGTAAAGTAAATCTGGGGTCAGAGTGAAGCTCAGCTAGCGGACATGTCCCGACTTGTCAGCTGTTGGTTAGCTAAACCTGCACCATTCAAGTTGAATTAAAAATAATACAAAATCCTCCTGGACCTTCTGGACACATTTAAGATGCTGGCTTCAAGCTGCTGTAAACTGAAGCTTCTCTAAATGCACAGCCTCACCTGGTGAGTAAAAAAAAAGGGAAAAAAACATTGTATCATTGTTCTGCATATAAAAATAGTGTGCATAGTTTATTTGTGAAAACTAGTAACAAATTCAGCTCTGTCAGCAGGTAGATCNTTTTAAATAGGAACAATAGAAACATGGTGACAGTAGTAAATAAAGGCCATGTTTCATAATTTACAACTTATTTTGTCCTAGTTTTAGGACTAAAGTTGTCTTTAGTAACCAATGAAAGTGACAAATGGCTGAAAATATTTTTAATAATGCAAGCTTAAATTTACTACATTTCACACATGATACAAATTTAATGTCTCATGAATTTAAAGGATTTTACTAAAAGTAAGCCATTTGTCTTTTTTTTCTTTTCCCCACATCCTAAAAAAATTACATTTTCCCTGGCCATTGTCAGCGAGAACATTTAGTTAATGTCTAACTGCCTTGTTAGTTATCTGCACGGCCATTTTTCTGTCCCCGTATTAGTTGACCTTCGTTTAAAAGCACCATTTTGTGTCTAATAGCCACAAAGTTTAAGTTTATCTAGGTCAGAGAACAGTTGGTGCAGCGTGATTATTACAACAGTGAAAAATTAGGGTGAGGCAATAATTGCTGTTCTAACCATGGTCTGCAATAATACAGTATAGCGCCTGTGCATACGTGATGGTCCTTTATAAGCTGAGGCTTGTTCAATCGCTCCGATTCTGCTGTAACTATTAAACAAAAAAGATTGTTCAGCATGAAAAGATAATTCCAAGCCATAATGTTTACCTGTATCCAGAGCTGTTGTATTTTTCAGTAAGATCTTGTACTGATGATGGAAGAATCAAACTGTATACAGTCATTTGAGCATATTCCAAAACATCTTGASAGTATCCTGATGCATCTCAGTAATCCAGGTAAAAAATCAAAAAGAAAAAAAATTGTGTAGGTCTTCTGAAGTCTCAGACTAAAGAAGTCTCTTGGAGGAGAGACGGAACGTTTCATTAGAGAAGAGCCCGTCCAGAAGACCTACACATTTTTTTTTCTTTTTGATCTTGAGAGTATGAACATTTGGACACTGGGAGGGACCATGTGACCGTTTAGAATCAGAATCAGAATGTCATTCACACACAACATCAAAGATGCAATGCAGAACAAAACTGCAGTTAAGAACACTCCTTTCAGGAGAAATACACACATAACAAATATTGCTTCCTGAAATACTTTTTTTCTAAATTGAGCCAACAAAATACTAGCATTTTGTGTTTGCGTATATATATATATATATATATGTGTGTGTGTGTGTGTGTGTGTGTGTGTGT